TCATCTCTTAGTCACTGGATAATGTATATTTTTGGAAAGATCTTTGTTTTTCCTGCAGGGTAGGTGGAATCCTTCCTGTTACACTCTGTTCTCTTGCAGCATAAGTGCTGCAGCCTCACTGCAAACCGTGCAGAACTAGTACTGCAGGAATGAACAAAATGGAAAGGCAGCTTGTGCAGGAGAAAATGCTCTTGTTTAAAAGATGCTTAACACCCAATTGTATTTTAAAACCTTTGTTCAATATATCAGACAAATCAGTGCCTCAATCCAAGTGTCACTTTAAGGCAGGATTGAAGTCCCAGGCTTTTAAGTTCATGTAGCCATGATCAAGAAAAGCTTACTTTTGATCAAAGCAGGAGTAACCCAGCTGGAGATGATCAAAGACTTAAGAGTTAGCTGGTGTACTGGGAAACCAAATATGTCTTTCGCTAGCAAGCTCAGTAAGCTGCTCAGCTGGAAGTGAGGTTGCAATGGGAGACATGAAGGTTGGAAAAGAAGTAAGGCTCAGTCAAAAAAAGGAAAATTACAGAGTGAATAGCATCTCATTTCTGGGCATTCAGTGCTGAGAGCCATAAAAAACTGGTGTCCTCTCTGAGCACTTGCAGCTTGTGTGGTGTTCAGATAGAGCATCTGATGCTTGGATTTAATGTGGATTTGAAAGCAACAAATGACTTGCATGGACACAGAGCAGTGAGCCATGGGAAAACGCAGTCCCACATGCAACTGTGCTATTTGCTGCGATTCCCTATTATGAAGAATCATGGATTATTGTGTTGGTTTTCCAGTAGGCTTATGACCTTCTATGGGTAAAAGCAGTTTAGATCTCAGCGGGGGAAGTGAAGGCAGTGCAGCGACAGGATATTTTGCTGGAGACGCATCAACTCTGTTTTATGGATATAAAACATGACTGTGATAAAAGTGAAACACAGCCCTTTTCTGTAGCACAAGGAGTAGTGTAGTCAGGTTTGTCACTTGTCACTACTCAAGAGCATAAGTCAAAATAAACTGCACTACACCCTTATATCTTAGGTGGATATCACGCTGAGGAAGATGATGAGGAGGACAGTTCCCATTTGTGCTAATTAAGCTTTCTGACAGGCAACTACTTTCACAGGGAGCTACATGGTTTAGAGTGGGAGTTAATAAGCAGAAGCAGCACTCAGAGCCTAGGGAGTGGGTGAGACTGATGCTTCCTCTGGGAGAGCATGTGGGGCTGGTCCCCAAACACTCCCAGCAGGACCAGACCCTGCTGAGTGGAGGAGCTGTGTTTAAAGGACATCCGCAGGGGCTGAGGGAACCCGTGTTCCTTGTGCTAGAACCTGGTGTGCAAAAGCTGTGTTCTGGAGAAGTGCAACATGAAGCACTTCTGCTGGAAAAGGTTGGCCAGTGCTCCAGGAACCTACCTCTACTAGTTTGCTTCAGTGTCTGTAGCGAGAGGGGGGATTGCTGTGAAGCAAATAAATACATGGACAGCTCTCTTAGGAGAAAGAAAATAACCTTTTTCTAATAGTCTGTTGACCAGATACTGTCTTGCGAATTCCTTGATGCTGATGTAGCATCATTAATGGTGGCAACCTTGGTGCTGCAGCATCAGTAGCGTTAACACTAAGGAGGCGTAGTGCCTGACTGTCTGCTTCAGATGTGGTTTTGGGGCTTATGAATGACAGCTCAGATGATGATTATTCAATGGCTTAGGCACACTGAGTTATTTTCAGTTGAGCTTACCCTGTGGCCAGTAGCATCTTCTCCGCACTCAGTGCAGCTGCAGGAAGCACGTGTCCCATTGGCAGTGTGTCATCTGGCCTGTTTCATGGATCCTCCTGCACTTCCCTAATGTGGCAAATGGTCAATTTGACACTCCCAATGACTCTGCTGGAAAAGCTGGAGCTACTGTGAGAGTTAGAGACTTGCAGGACAGTTCTGTGCTTTTTGAAGCTGTAGCGTAATGGAATAACTCTCCTACAAGTGTAATGCTGCCTTGTAGATTTCCTTTCAGACCCAGAAGTGATTTATTTTTACCTTGTACTTTCATCGTTACCCTTCTGCCTCTGTGGTAACATGTCTTTTCTCATTTCTATTTTCAGTTTGTGGCTTGGGTATACAGGCAGTGATCAAAGGGAATGCCTGGGACTCAGGAAATTTCATCTCTGTTCCATAAAATGACATCTTTGTCTCCAGTACCACGGCCTGAAGCCAGCTTTCCCCTGCTGCAGCATTCCCATATGATAGCATGTGCTGTCTAGTATCTGAGCTGCAGTTCTCTAAGCAGCAGAGCAAGAATTGCGCAGGAAAGATAAAAATACACATTAATCTAGATTTCTTCCATTCTTACCTGTCCTTAGACACAAACAGGTTCTGAAATCCAGAGGTATGTGGAAGGGCAAAGTCAAGGCTGACAGATATTGCTTATGTCCCAAGAGGTAGGAGTGGTGTGTAATGTGCTGAGTGTTGCATTTGGATGTATATCTGCCACTAGCTAACATGTAGAACATGCACATTCAGGGTCCCAGCCTTGTCTGACTGAAAGAAATAAAGAATGGTTACGCCAAAATACAGTAGGAAAACAGTATTGCAGAAGGACAAAAAAGTTTGTCTGGACTAGTAGCCAGAGGGGACTCCTTCACCGCTGTATAATTCTGTGACCAGGAATAAGTCCTGTGGTGTTGGCTCCTGAGAGAGAGATTTCAGTTTAGTTTATTCTGTTAATTTTATCTGGAGTACATCCACACAAGGCTTTGGCCTGGTGCAGCCTGGTGAGTTTTTAATCTAATCTCAGTTGGAGCAGCTTTCGAGTACAGAGGTTGCTCAAGTCCAGCTCAACAAGCCATGCACACAGAACATGTGCCAGTGCAATGGGTCTCAGCTACTCTTTAGTGAAGGCTGAATGCCCAGGTGAATGATTGAGTTGGAAGAAGAACCCAAGCCTTTTGGTGAGAGTCCAGATGAAGGTTCATGTTACGTGAACTGTATCTCCTTTCTGGAGGCTCTGGAAGTCTTCTCACAGATTTGTCACTTTTGTGGAGTGCTATAAGTACTATAATTTCATAGAATCATGGAATGGGTTTGGGTTGGAAGGAACCTTAAATCTCATCTAGCTACAAGCCCGTGCCGTGGACAGGGACACCTTCCACTAGAGTAGGTTTCTCCAAGCCCCATCCAACCTGGCCTTGAACACTGCCAGAGATGGGGCAGCCACAGCTTCATTGCCTTGAAGAATATGCCAACAAATTTCCAAATAGTCACGTCTTTTAAAGATTGCTGAGCTATTTGGTTTGGTTTTTTTCTTTTTCTGACAGTAATCAGATTATCTCTTTATTAGGAATCTATGATGTTCTCCTCCTGCCAGATTCTAGGCATAGGCTTCCTCCTTTCAGTCTCAAGGTTTTTGCCCCTCACTGGATCACAGAAATGGTTGGTTTGGGATTTTTAAAAGCTGAGGTGGTGAAAACCTCAGGAAGAGGTGAGGGAGACACTTCCTAAAGCAGCCTCTGACAAGACAGAGATGTTCCTAGTTGGTAGCAGATTGCTTTGGGAGGCTCTTTGACTTCTTCCAGTCAAATACTATAGTCCCTTTCTCCCTTTTATGGGCTTCTCTCTTCCCTGCTTTATCACATTGGTGTCTGGATGTACTTAGAGGGCAAAATTCAGAAGCTGCTTGCTTTTAGATGCTTCTGGCCTTTGGATGCCCTGTTGCAGATACCTGGAGATGTTTTCTGGACACTCTCCCTTCCTACAGTTCCTGGGGGGTGTGTAAGTGCTTTACACTTCTCCAGAACAGATCAATTTTGAATTCCCCGAAATTTTGATCTTAACTACAAACATGAACTAATAAGGAAGCTAAAAAGTCTTTCCTACTTAGGGATCATATATTCAGAACTGAACAGACATTTGGGTCAAACATGGTATTATTTTAAAATGACAGAAACCCAAAATATTACATTTCCAGTGATAGTTTAAATAAAGCTCTTCCAGGAATCTTGTGTTTTTCTTTCATATTGAAAATCCAAAGCATAGTTTGGAGTTACAGCCTCATGAATTCTGAGAATTTAAAGGATTCATCAAAATAACTTGCTCTAACCTTTATCATAATACCTACTCCTCCAGGTTGTTTCCTTGTATTTCTTCATTATGCTCACAACTGCTATGTGGGTATGCACAGGTTTTAGGTATTAGGTTTTAATACAGACTTCTAATGATAAATGGTGAAACTGATACAGAGCTTGGTTTAAACCCTAAATATTTTTTGTCATTTGAATACAATCTCTTTGAATTCACTGCACAGCCTGGGCTTTCTCTGTCCCCTAAACATGAGTAGCTACCACTGTGTTTTGTTTCCTCTTCACTCCAGTCTGATGGCTAAGGTAGAGGAATTTAACAACAACAACAAAAAAAATGTCAATACTTTAATTAAGAATAGCACTGTCATTTGTTCTGAGCATTCAAATCCTTTTATTCTCAAAGCCAACTCAGTTTTTTGGAGAAGAAAATCCCAGGTTCCCATCCCCTCCAAATATACCAAACGAGTAAATCCCAATTAAATTCTCAAATGCATAGAGCTATGCAAGTCTCCACAGACAAGATGCAACCTCCAGCACTTTGCTTTCTACCCAGGAGCAAACTTTAAGGTACTCTTTTCAGCATATTCAGACACCAAAGGATGATGGGAGCAGTGTTCCTCGGGTCCTCGGTGCTTTTCCCTGACTTGCAGTGGCAACTGTCACATGCTGACTGCTGGAAAGGTATTTGATCCTTGTTGGTGCCTATAAAAGAGATGAACTCCTGTAGAGATGGCCAAAGTGGACATACATGGGTGGCTGTTCTGCCATCAGCAATGACATCTGTGTTTCAATGTGAAGTAATAACGTGCCTATGGGCCAGATAGCATAGTGTAAAGTTAGGCAAAAATCATAACTAACAACGTTAAGCAAACTGTTGTTGATGGGTAAAGAAGTATGCTAGTCTAAGCCCTATTTGCAATCTTTCTTCTTGTTCTTCTTCAGGTATTTTGAGTTTTATGAAGGACCTTTGGAATACAACTCTACTAAATGCTTGGAATTACGGCATGACATCATTGAGGTGAAGGTTTTATCTATGTAAGTATGAATGAATGCTTGCTAAAAAGAATCATAGAATCTTAGAATCACCTTGTTTGGAAAAGACCTTGAAGATCATCAGGTCCACCATTGCCCTGGGCAGCCTGTTCCAATGCGTGATTACTTGCTCTATGAAGAAATTTTTCCAAACTCCAGTCTAAACTTGCCCTGGTGCAGCTTGAGGCCGTTTCCTCTTGTCCCATCCCTTGTTCCTTGGGAGCAGAGCCCAGCCCCTCCTGGCTCCATCCTCCTGTCAGGCAGTTGTAGGGAGCCATCAGGTCCCCCCTGAGCCTTCTCTTCTCCAGACTGAACCCCCCAGGTCCCTCAGCCGTTCCCCATCACACTTGTGCTCCAGGCCCTGCTCCAGCTCCATTGCCCTTCTCTGGCCCCTCTCCAGCACCTCAATATCTCTCTTGTAGTGAGCGGCTCAGAACTGAGCACAGGATTTGAGGAGCAGCCTCACCAGTGCCCAGTACAGGGGGATGATCACTGCCCTGGCTCTGCTGCCATACTGTTGCTGATACAGGCCAGGATGCTGCTGGCATTCTTGACTGCCTGGACACAAGCTGCTCATGTTCAGCTCTGTCAGTCAGCATCCCTGTGTCTTTTTCCATGAGCAGCTTTCCAGCCACTTTTCTCCAAGCCTGGAGCATTGAATGGGGTTGTCATGACCCAAATGCAAAGGTTACTTTTCAGGTAGGATGAAAATTATAACTTACAATGACATTGTCAAAACATACAAGGCTCAAGAGATCCCATCAATAGGTATTGCATCAGAAATTCCTGAGGTTATCTTATATGTACAAGTAGTGACATCAAAGTTTGACCTGAGGTCCATTTAAAAAAAAAGGAGGCTTTTCACATACATTGAGGCATTTTAATCAGGCCCGTTATCATTCTTTGGAATAAAAACCAGTGTAATACTCAATACCAGGTGATTAAAGAATAAGAACAGCCAGAATGACTCACAGCAAGAGTAAGAACAGCCAGAATGACTCATAGCTCTATCAAGGACAATGGCCAGTAGCAAAGGCTATGAAATTAAATGAAAAGGTTAGCTGTACCTGATAACATATAGCGTCATGGGGACTTGCTGGGTGGTAGATCGTGACTAGACTACAGTAATCAGAGCAGACAATAGACTTCTCTGTTAATTTGTTTAGATCTTTTCTGAGGCCATTTGTACTTTTGACCGCCTCGACCAGCAATGAGTTCCACAACTTAATAACACTCAGTAAAAATGATGAAAATGTAATTAACACAAACAACAAAATACCTGGAATTTGTCTTTTGTGGTCTGTTCATCAGGAAACTAATGAGTTGAATGAGATGCATCCATGAAGCCATAGTGATGGAATAGGGCCAAAAAGTGAGGTTGCCAATGAAACTCATTGGGCAGAGCATAGCAAAGTATTTTTTATGTTGTCCTTTTGTATTTTCAGCATTGCACTGAGTTTAGGTGCTGGAATTATACCTAATCCCTTACATATCTAAAACCACTGGGTTAGTAATCTTACAATCTACAAACTTTATTAAGTTCTGTAAAACACACTGAGAATCTCAGCTGAAAATGCAGCTATGCAAGTGCATAGCATTAAGCAACGGAGGCTACAGAAAATCAATTTGTTTCTCCAGGTGTGCATGATTTAGAACATGTTTCCCTCACTGATTTCATGCACAGAAAAATGTAGGTTATGTCCTTATCTTCTGCATTTGGTACTGGATGGAGGGAATACACAACTAACAAATTTGCACTGCTTGCTGACTTGCAGTACTTAAACATAAATAGAAAGAATGAGAATGTCACACTTCTGCCAGTGTTTTGCTGAAGATGGGGAGTTTTTAATTGTTTTTCTGCATACTTATCAGATGGTACAGTAATTACTAATTTTTCTTCTTCATTTTATCCACTGGCACATAGAAGGTAGTACACTCCTGCTCAGCTATAGTTAGCCTTGCTTTTATGGAGATGCCATTTGACATTAAGCTTTTTTACTATGCTTGGTTCTTCTGATGTGCCTGCTTCTAATGTGCTACATTTCCTAACTCAGTCCTCACAGTAATGGAAGATTTCCAAGTTAATGTGCTCTGGTGGGCTACAGAAAGTACAGTATGACCTAATTCCTGGGAATTCCTAAGTTCTACTCACTTTAAATATATAATTATCTTAAAAGTGTTTGCTTTATTCAAACATCCAAAGCCCTCCCAGAAGACAACTCATTAAGACCTATCAGTCTTAAAGTAATTTCAGACTTCAGAATTTCCTAGCCTGATTATGAAATTGCTCCCTAACTCTAGATATTTCCAAGGCCTTCATTATCCCTGTTGTCTAAATACATATATGAACTCTAAGGTTGAAGTGGTTGGAATTGATGATATCACCAAAAATATGTCATATCAGCCTAGTAGACATAGGAATGTCATTTTTTGGATATAATTAAAAGTATGTTTGCTAACAGAGAGGGAGGGAGAGATCCTTATGTAAAGAGCTTTTCATGTCCTCTTGCGGTCACAGATGCTTATCCCTACATGTGTACTCTTGCAGTTTATAAAATGGATTTAGCAACTGTGCTGTTCTGTAGCATCTCACAGATTAAGATAACCTCACCAAAATGTAATGGTAGTTGGCCAAATTATCTGAAGTATCCTCTTTTCCAGTACCTCCTCTGCTGGACCCATCTGCTAGGTGCAACTTTCCTTCCCAAAGCTGCTGTAGTTGCCAGACACTCATTAGCTTCCCAGCAGACTGTGGACAGACATGCATTAGATGCTTCTTGCTTTATATTGCTTTTTTTATCCTGAAGAAATGAAGAGTGCCTGTCAGGGAATAGAAACCAGGCCCAAATATCTGAAGAGGTCCATCTATACTTGTGTTTTCATGGTTTTTCATTCATACTACATCTGAGCAGAAGAGGAAATAAAAATACTAAGATGTTGCTTTCACTACACTTTCAAAAGCATGGTCCCCTGGCTGCAGCTGTTTTAGGAAATGAAGCCTTTGTAATTTAATTTTCTTTCTGTTTATATTTTAGGGTGAAACAGACTGAATTGTTTGACAGGTGGAAGAACCTACAGATGTGCAAATGGGAGATGAATGTCACAGAAGCTAATTTATTAAAGTAAGAATTGTCCACATTAATAAGGCTGAGTAAGATTTACTTTAAGTTTAGCTTCCTGTAGCTACCCATACCTTTGTGTGGCATGTGGATCAGTGTTACCAGGAGAGGCAGGGAATTTGGTATAGGAAAGACTTCCAGGTATGATTCAGGCAGAAGTGAGGAAGAAGCCAAGCCTTAATGGCTGCGCCTAATGCATCAGCCTAACTCTCTGGTGGTGTAAAATTGATAACATCATTGGCAAGACATCTAATTTGTCCCTAAAAATACTCAAATGGGATTTTCCTGTTGTGGTTTAGATACTGTCAGACACTGTTTGTGACTTTTTTAATTTATTTTTTTATTAAAAGCTGTTACTCCCTGACTGTCTAGATATGTTAACTGGTCTTTGGAGACCTCTGTGGCCAATTACTGTAGCACTCTGTCTTCCTTCATGTGACTTCCTCTTTGCTGAAGATCCACCATGGTGCTTTCAAAATACAACTTTTGAAACTGGAGTTGTGAAAGCAATAGTAGAATGAAGCCAAACCCATATTTGAATGCTGAATGTTGATATATTTGAGGCCAAATTTGAGCAGATCTAGAGAAAACACATTATTTCAGAGTAAGTGGAATATAGACTGGTTAAGTCACTGGCAAGATCCAGTGCTGTTGTTTAGAATAAGGCCCCACAATTTTCTTCTGAATTGTCTTACATGATTCCAGGAACTAGCTGTCATGAGTTAATGAGAGAATGTGAAAATGCATGTCCTGAGTTAGTCATTAACATCTTTAAAAATAACTAATTGTTAGTCCCAGGCTCATAACAGTTTTTCCAACGTGAGCGCCACACAGGAGTTTTTTTAGGGTTTTTAGTATACTTTTTTTTTCTGGAAGTGATTTGATGGGCAATTATCAGAGCCCGTATTGAAGACAGGAGCCATTCAGGATTAGAGCCTACCATCTTGAAGACTGTTTGGAGTAAGGGAACTACTGATTGTACCCAGAATGAAGCATATTAAAGTGTGGAGAGGAGCACATTGAAATAAGGCGGCCACTGCAGAGGTAGGGACAGTCAAAGAGGACTATCTAAGGAGGACCATCGTTCTGTCTCAGGCCACTAGCACTAGCACATTAGGCAGGGTGCATTGTGCTATACATCCTATACAGTGCATTGAGACTTGTCTGCTTAGCATCCATCTGTTGGGGCCACATCATATTCCTGATGCGTATATACAAGGTCAAAGGCAAAACTAAGAACTTTAAAGTTTTTTTATAATCACAGTTTTTGTAACTCACAGTTGTCTGGTAAATGGGGTAGTGTCTTTAGGTACTGCTGTGTTTAAGTCCCTGCCTTGCCAAGTTTTCCACATTCCCAGATGAATACTTTAACCCCTACGTTTGCTGCCCAGTGATGAGTAAATAGTTTACAAGAGGTGAAAGACCTCTAAAGCAGAGAGGGACTAATTCATTAGGATGGTTTGTAGAGGCAGAAGCTCAGCTTCCAGGTCTGGAGCAGGGCATAATTTGCACATGTATTTCCTTCAGTCTAGAAAAGGCAGGTATAGAGATCTCATTTCTCCTTTTCTTTTTTTTTTTTTTTTTTTTTCCCATAAATTACTTTCTCAGGGAAAATGTCACGGAATCTGAAATTTTCTAAAGGAAAATCTAGCAAACTAGCCAGGGATGGAGCTTTCACAACTTCCCTGGGCAACCCATTCCAGTGCCTCACCACCCTCACAGTAAAGAAATTTGTCCTTATATCCAATCTAAACTTCCCCTGTTTAAGTTTGAATCCGTTACCCCTTGTCCTATCACTACAGTCCCTAATTAAGTGTTCCTCCCCAGCAACCCTATAGCCCCCCTTCAGATACTGGAAGACTGCTATGAGGTCTCCATGCAGCCTTCTCTTCTCCAGGATGAACAGCCCCAACTTTCTCAGCCTTGTTAGGAGTAGTAGTAATTGCAAATCCTAAATCATCCTTGATCTTATTTCTCTCTTTAATTTTACAGGTCTACTTTGTCAAAGTGTTGCAATGCCCCTGCCTTTCTGTTCACCACCCAGAAAAATACTCCCTTGGGAACTAAACTGAAGTATGAGGTGGATACTAGTGGAATCTTCCACATCAACCAGGAGATCTTCAAAATGTTTCCGAAGGTGCCTCATTCTTCTGCCCATTTGAAGAATCAACTTCACTCTACTTGCTGCATTAGATACTATAGCCAAGCATTTAGCAGTTGGCTGGCTGACATTTCTACAGACTTCATTGCTTTTACTTTGAAAATGTTTATTTTTTATATGATATTTTAGTTGATTATCCTATTGTCTATTTGTCAACTGCTCTAGTATGCAATATAGATATATTTTCCTGCAGTATATTACTGACCTAGTAGCAAAATGGCTAATGAAATAAGTTAAGAAAGCTGAATAAAAGAGGCACTTATTGATCACAACTTTTTAAAGGGTAATATTCATGTACAGTAAATCCAACATTTGGGGTAGACCTGCTTTTTTGAGGGCATGATTATTTTATAGTTCATATTCACAAAGACAGACTATTTTTATACTTATTTCTGTTTCTAGTTTATCTGTGAACAGGCTGCACAATTTTTAAATATATTCATCATTATGATTATTCAAAATTTTTTCATCAAATAATCTTTGAAATTAGGGCCATTCAAAATTATAAGCATGTGGCAATTCCCGTTACACATAGTGACTGATACGCAGAAATGGGTTTATGTGACTGCTGATTTACCATGGGGCACACCTCATGAATTTAAAATGGCATATTTGGAGGGGACAGCTGAAATTTATTCTTTTCAGAAAGTCAGAAAAATATTCAAGTTAAGTACTTCAATTTGTGCCATTAAAGTTGTCCTTCAGGGTCTAACCACTTCTAATCCATTTGCTTTTTGAGGACTATGAATAGGTAGGGTAGTGCTGTTATCTAAATGTACATGTGGGGGACTGGAGCAGAGCAGGGAACAGGCCTATATCCAGGAAAGCACTTTAGCATCTGAAAACATGCAAAGAATGGATACATCTAAGTCTAGGAGTATTATCCACAAAACCCTGCCTGACTGCACAGATGAATGCATGAAAGCCTACATACCTGCCTACACTTTTTGTTAGGACTCTTACAGCTGCAGTTATATTTAACCAGGTATGCCTTCAGGGTGCTTTGAAGGTGCTACCATGGGCCGAACTACCTTTGGGATTCCCTGGGCAGCTCCTATGTAGCTAAAGCCTTCCTCTGTGTAGGAGCATGGCTGTAGCATGGTAAATGTAGGAGATGAAGGGCTGAAAGGACAGGAGCAAGACTTTAAAGGCAAGAGCCTTGTGCTTAGTGCAGAGACTGAGCTTCTGACCTCTTTTTCAGTACTGCAAAGGCATTTTGTGTTAAGAAATCCCCGGATAAAGCAGAAGCAACTCTATATTTCCTCTCTGTGAGGCAGCTGCTGCTTTTCTCAGACAGGTGTAATTGCATGCCCTTTTGCCTCATGGCTTATGAATGCTGTGGAAAGATACTGGGAATATGCACCCAGAAATGTCATCCCACTATCGCATCTCTCTGTAGTTTGTGGTATGAAATTACTGATAAAATATGTATGTACTGAAACAAGTGCTCTCATGCTTACATAAGCACATCTCTACATATTCATAAGGTGTAGCATGGCTCGATTCTGCGTCACAGCCCTCTCACCCTAACGGCCCACTTCTCAGAGATGTGATTTTCACTCTCTCTGGCTTCAGCAGCAGCTGCATGTCTGCGTATGAAGACAGAATTTTGCTTGAAGATTACAGAAGGATGCATCCTACACAAGTCCAGAAAGGTGCCTGATTTTGGGCTATAGGCACTGCTGGTAGTACAAGTGCTGATTAATAATCATGGGTACTATTAGGACACTTAGTTCTAGCAAACACTGAAATCTGGTCTAGGTTCTGATAAATAGGTGTGGCCTGCTGTCTGACAGTGTTCTTGGGCTTTACTAGCTGGTCTGGAGTGAACAGATGTCTCAAAAGCAGGACATCAGAGCCCGAGGAGCTAGCAATTTGTAGGCAGCTCAGAAGGCAGTTCCTGTGGTACGCTGATTTTATGGTTCATGCCCTCATGTGGAAATCAAAAGGGAAAGCAAGTTTCTAAAATTACTCCATCCATTATTAAGTCTGGACAAAATCAGGTTATTGTTTTTTCCCCCCTCTGAGTTATTTGCCTATACTATATCTAATTGCAGAGAAAACAATCCTATTCATATGTACATCATGGGAATATTGTGGGACAGAACCAGTGTCAACTTCCTGTGATTAGTGTGTCTGCAGCAAGATGCAGCTGCACCAAAAAAAAAAAGGAAGAAGTAAAACAGAAACTCATTGCCTCCATGTTCTGGGATATTTAACTGATTCCTTGCTGTGATCTTGCAGGATATGCCGTACCACCGGTCCCAGTTTAAGAAATGTGCAGTGGTTGGGAATGGAGGAATTCTAAAGAACAGTGGATGTGGCCGGGAGATTGACAGTGCAGACTTCGTGTTTCGGTAATCACCACAGCACCAATTTCATTTTTGCCTGTTTCAATGACAAATAAAGGACTGAAAAGTTATTCTCTCTCACATGGAAACATGAGATTTGCCAGACTGGCAGTATCAAGCCTGCTTTTTGCACAAAAAGTAATGTTTCAAAAAAAACCCACCTACTGTATAATATTTATTTTAAAATTTGAGGAAGTATTTCTCCCTGATTCCGTATGGTTAATCACTGGTTTATTGATAAAGCATGATATCCTCTTTTGGAACATCCCCTGTGCTCAGGTTATGATTTATCCTTCCATGGACTTCAGCCTGTAAGCAACATCCTGTGGACATGATGGTTTTATTGTGCAGTGCTAAACCAGAGGCACAACCCCTGTTACGTGACAAGCACATAACATCTTGGTCAAATTGCTCCATGCTGAGCATCTCACATGTCTCAGAGTTGTGCTTCTGAGGTGGTGCAGAGCTCCACTGGAGTGGAGCTGGATAATGGGTGTTTCAGTAACTGGAGTCTCCAGGGTGTGCAGGGATGCCTGAATAACTTTGAAGGCTGTGTCTTTGTATTGTGCTCCCCAAGATATGTGGAGTTATCCAGGTTTTGCATAAACTAGGATGTCCTACAATATGTCCCTGGATAGCAGAGTTCAGCAGCACTTTTATCATCCTTAATATATATGGGAAAGATGTTTTAATTATTCATAGTCATGACTAATCCATCTCTAAATCCTGTTTAGCTCTTTGCCTGGGTCATGCCATATGACAGATAGATCACAGATTCATGACCTGTTCTGTAGAAGAGAATAATATTGGCCTATTTTCTGATCTTCGTTATGTTGCTGTTAGTTTAGAATAACCGTGCATAAATTAGTGAATTTATCTGATTTCATACCGGCAAAAATTAGGACATATTTTGGCTCATTGCATTCTTAATTTAATTTGGCATCAAATGATAAATAGAATTGTACAGGTCTTCCCTTCACTATTCATTGTTTTCAGACCCTTGTGATTTCCTCTTGTGATTACTTTATATGGAGCTATTGTTGTAGTTTTAATCTGTGAAACAGTCCAGGCTTTACGTAACTTGCTTCTTAAAAGCCTAGTATACCCCATATACATCACATAATTATTGTAGACTCCCTTCTATGGTATTGGCACACAGCTATCAGTATGGTTGAAAGGAGTGGTACATGTTACACATGGAAATGACAAGCTGATTAGAAGTGGAAATGTGGGCAGCAAATGTCATAATTCCTGTATAAGAACATTCAGTGGAGGTCCCTTTTTACCACTGTTACTCTTCCTAAAACTGTACCAAAACCAGATTAAAAAAGAGCTGATCGAATCACTATAGAACTTACTTAGAAATCGGATTGCTGTTGGTACTAGTGACTAACTAAACAGAGGCTTAAGTAGAACTGAAATATTAATAAATACATCCAGACTTATGCAAAAGAAATCCCTGGTTCCCCATCTCCAAAACGCATGGAATCAGCATTGTACACAAAGACATGCTTGTGTTTAAAAGCCTAAGGTCTGCTGACATCAGTTTTAAAGCAAGGCCTGTGTTTAATGTTAGGTCTGTACACATTTACCTTCCAGTCTAAAACCAGTCCACCGAACTGTCAGGAATCACTATCTTGGTCACCAGTGAAATAATTATTTGAAAGATTTCAAAAACAGCCCATGGGGCACTGCTAACATTTGGTGATAACTTCAGGACACCTGCAAAAGTCTTCTGTAGTCCAGAAGATCGTGGCCAGAAGGATACAAACAGTATTTTTCTATGAAATAAATTCTGATAGCAATTAATTATAGTACAATGGAATAGATAAACTGCGCACGCATGAGCTGCATTTACCGGTTGTTATTGTCTATCTCCATCTACTGGCCAGAGTAGAGATCTGTGGTGGAACGCTGGGTGCATTTAGAGATCCTCTATGCGGGGATGAATTTTTGGTCCTAGGACAAAAGTGCTGTTTATGAAGATTGTATCATTTTTGTGAGGAATTATCACTTTGAACAAATTCAGTCTTTTTAATCATAGAAACCCAGACTGGTTTATCTTTGAAGGGACCTTACAGCTCATCCACTTTCAACCCCCTGCCATGGGCAGGGACACCTTCCACTTAGAGTAGGTTGCTCCTAGCCCTATCCAGCCTGGCCTTGAACATTGCCAGAGATGGGGCAGAGTTTACGGTTCAAAAATATTGAAGCGAAGTATTTGAAAACCTATTCCAAATATAATTTAGTGAACACAGTGCACATTCCTAGGTGGAACTGGGGATGCTAGAGGACTTAAGAAGGATGTTGCATGACCTAGGAGAGAAGAGTACTGGAAATAGCATTGCCTATAAGAAGGATGAGAAGGATGAGGTGGCTAAAAAAAATTATCTGACCTGATAAAGAGGGACTCTCTGGAAAGTAGATGGGAACCTGCTGAGTCTGAGGAGGACTTTGGAGGATTTTTGTGCTTTCTTGTCCTCCCCACTCACCTTGTCCCTGTGAGTAAGAAGTGATGCTGACAGCTGAATAGTGCTATTGTGAAAACACTGAGCATCTGTTACCCTAAATGCCTTCACGGGTTTCTCCTGTTCAGCTTTGATCTTCAGAAATATGGACATGTTTGGGAATTAGGCACAGCAGTATTTTTGATATGTGGTGATTTTAACAGTGATGGCTTTTATAGAGGCTTGTAGATCAGAAGTTTTCAAAATGCCAGCAAGTATCTAACTGGCTTAACATGAGTGTAAAACTAGTAGCAAAGCCACTTATGTTGCCTCTGATAAAACACACTGAAGGTTTTTTTTTTAATTTGGGTTTCCTATAGAAGTGAAGCTTCTGTGATAGGTTGTGTGTACATGTGTGTGTTTCAGTAACTGCAGCATCTCCTGAGGGATGCTCTAAATTGTGTATGATGAATCTAGGTCAAGGCCAAGCTGAGTGGAGGTTGGGCAAATTCAAGGTTTGCAAATATTCACAAGTTTGCTCCTATTAGCTTTTACATCCTCTGGTGAATCTGTAGAGTCTGAATTGCTACTTTTACACTGCATTGGGAGATGCTTATATAGGGAAAAGGAAGGAAAGCCAATAGTTTTGGGTTAATTAGGACTGGACTGATTTGTGGAGCATTTCTTCTAAATTCTGTTGGGTATGAAGTAAAGCATGTTAAAGGCAATGTTATGGTTTGTCTATTAATTATTGAATACAGCTCAGCTGCTGCTGAGGAAGTCTTTGATTTTATAGGGTGATTATCCTTGAGGCTTCACACATTTCTCATCCTAAATTGTCAAAATAAATAGCATAAATATATAGTTAAGGAATTAAAATGGGTGAGCACTGGCTACATAGAATCATAAAATCATAGAATAGTAAGGGTTGGAAAGGACCTTAAGATCATCTACTTCCAAGCCCCCTGCCATGGACACCTCACACTAAACCATCTCACCCAAGGCTCTGTCCAACCTGGCCTGGAACACCACCAGGGATGGAGCATTCACAACTTTCTTGGGCAACCCATTCCAGTGCCTCACCACCCTAACGGTAAAGAACTTCCTCCTTATATGCAATCTAAACTTCCCCTGTTTAAGTTTTAACCCGTTACCCCTTGTCCTATCACTACATCTTCAAAAAGACTCAGGGAAGATGAGAGATCTTAGCTCCATCTAACTTGTTACCTTAATGAACAGTTTGGGCATCAAGGTGGTTTGATACACTTTTAAATTCTTAGTCTGTTTCTAGATCTGTTGCTTGGAAGAAATGCTTGCATCAACTCTACTTTCTAGTCCTGAAAAGGTGCAAGGAATTTTCTAACTTTCTTACTAATTTCTTTCCTTTATAGATGCAATTTGCCTCCTATATCTGAGAAATACTTAACAGATGTTGGAGTGAAGACGGACGTTGTGACTGTCAATCCCAGTATAATTACTGAGAGGTATTTCTGTTTTGGTTTGGTGGGTTGTTTGTTTTTTTTTCTGTCTCTATTGTTTTTCCGAATCTACTTTTCACTTAACTCTGTCTGTTACAGATTTTTCTTCCCCCCAATATTACTTTCAACTAACACAAGGAATCATACATTTCATGCTGAATTGGTATATGGAATCAGTAACAACTGACAGAAATTTGTTACACACTTCAACTTGCACATTGGTGATAGAAAGTGGGAAGCCGATGAGCTAAAATTGGAACAGCAGAGCCATCCTTCCCCTGGAAGGTTTGTGCCGTGCTTGCAAGCCTCTGGCAAATGTCTCAGAAACATTCAGGGTGGAAGCAACTGAATCTCACCCTAAATGTTTAAATAAAGTAATGCACATTGTCCTGTGCTTTTTAAAAAAGCCGGTTAAGCTTCATAGACAGGATTGTCTGGGTGATTTTAAATTTGTTAAGGCCTTAATGATACCTTGCTGACAGGTCTGAGATCATGGGACTTATTAGTGCCTTCTTTTATTGCTGGGGGAACGTGCTGCTTTTCTCAAGCCACCTAAAATAATTCGCTTGCATTTTGGATTTCTTTTAAATGCTACAGTTAAACATTTTAGTCTTTTACTCTGCTTTGGTGTTTGCTGCTTTCTAATAGAGTTCTGCACTGCATAGTGCAGTATACAGCTGCAGTTTACATCCTTCTCATAATAAAACAAGAAATGAGACATGATCAGAAATGTTTCCAAGGTTTGTCAACTGTTAATGAATATATTGCAAGGAGAAGAATATGTATTTTTTTATACCCTACATTTTTGCACTATTTTTGACACTGATGTTTTAGCTAGAAATCTAAATATATTCCTCTTGTTAAAGCTGAAACATCATCTCTTTGTCAGAATTATCTCTTCATCAGAAATATTTCAGTAAAATATTTCAGTAAAACTGGAGGTTTCTTGTCTACTAGATACAGACTGAGTCCATGCTGGTCTCACAATCTCATGCATCCTTTTCCCTTTAGATTTCATAAGCTGGAAAAATGGAGGAAACCCTTCTACAACGTGCTCCAGGTCTATGAGAACGCTTCTGTGCTGCTGCCAGCTTTCTACAACACTCGCAACACGGATGTTTCAATCCGGGTCAAATATGTCCTAGACGATTTTGAATCTCAGCAAGCTGTTTACTACTTTCATCCCCAGTATCTCATCAATGTCTCACGCTACTGGCTTGGCCAAGGGGTGCGGGCCAAGCGGATTAGCACTGGACTGATCTTGGTAACTGCTGCCCTGGAGCTCTGTGAAGAGGTCCACCTCTTTGGCTTTTGGGCTTTCCCCATGAACCCCTCAGGGATTTTTATAACTCATCACTACTATGACAACGTGAAACCTCGCCCTGGTTTTCATGCTATGCCCTCAGAAATCTTCAACTTTCTCCACATGCACAGCAAGGGGATCCTGCGGGTGCATACTGGCACCTGCAGCTGCTGTTGATGGAGGCATTTCTTATTTTGACATAAAATTAACAATAACTTGATGCCTATGTATGGTGTAGAATATTTTATTACACCCTGAGATTATGCAATAATTGTTTGATAAAAATTCAAGGCATTGCATCCCATAGGATCTAGGATACCAGCATCTTTCCTGCTAGCAGAGTTGGGTCCGTAATAGTTTAGGAGAAGCAAAACTCTTCTGCACCAGGGTATACACTGCCCTGAAAAGCAAATCAGATAAAAAGCACATTCCCAAATAGGTTTAGGGATAAACAGAGCACATTGATATATTTATCATTTCACTAAGAAGAAAAGAACCAAACTTTTGAGGAGAATCAGTGATCGAGAATTTTGGTGTAAACTGAATGATTTTACATAGGTTTCTGAATCGAGTATCCTGGGGCATTGCCAGATTTTATTGAAAACACTGTTCTCTGTCATTTGGGTTTTTTGAAAATACTGTTTAGCATTGTAGTTTTAAGGGGAAGTTTATAGCTTGAGGTCTTTCTTCCGTAATGTCACAAAATATTGGTGAAAACTAGCATATAGATGTGATTGATAGGAATAAACAAGATCACTTTATGCATATTTTCAGCGAGGATAGAAGAGAATTAAATTCCCATTCACTGCAACAGGTAACTCTGTTGACCATGGTGTGTAATTGTTGTAGAGTTTCTTCATCCTCCCTGTGTCTTGTATTTCTGGTCTCCTTTGCAGATCATGTTTCCTTTTTCATTGCCTGTGATGCTTTCCTTCTAGCTAACATACGCACCATGTGTGTTCTTCCTTCTGCAGTGACTATCTCAGCTTCAGAATGTAGTTCTTGTTGACGAAACGTGCTCCTTCACACTTCTGTGTGCTTTTCTCAGGCTAAATAGCAACGAGATTATGTAGTTATGTTTTCTGAGCTGATTTCTTTGGTTCAGGTATCACAATACAAGATAGAAAGAAGCATTTTCTCATTGATTTTTGTTAAAGACTTTCATGAGTATGCGAAAGTTGACTTGCTGATGTGCAGGTCAAGTTAGACACTTTCAGGTATCTGTTCAGGAAATGAAGTTAAAATATAGTGAAAATACTTTGTGGTTTAGATTATGATGCTTATTTTAAAATTATCTCAAGTTGTTAGTTGTCTTAACGTGGCAGTTCCTTATGTTAAGAATGTTATTAGGATAGTAAAAGGGCTGGTGTATTCTTGAGAAAGTTACTCTGCCAGTTTTGCCAAGCTTAATTTTCCATCTGAAGCAGTTAAACTGGCAAAATCCTGATGCAGAAAAGATGCCACATATTGCTGGATTTTATTTTGGCTGCCAAGCCATGGTGTTGTAGGCTGCTGGTATATCCTTTTTCATACTGGTATGACTGCCTACACACAAGGGTGAGGTTTGCTGTTTCAGCTCTGCTGGCATAGTTAAATGAACAGAGTTTCCTCTTGTATGTTCTTAGTGTGAAGCACTTGGGCTGTTGTCCAGTGCCTTGTCATGTCTTAGATTACAAGATCTTTGATCAAGGATTTGGGAGTTTAAAGTACTAGTTCTATATGAGGGATGCTTTTTTTTTTTTTTTTTTGGGGTGGGGGGGCGGGGAGAGAAGAGGGTATAAATCCAGAGCTAAACTTGAATTTTGATTTTGTAATGCATGAATTCACAAAGCTTCTTGTAAAAGCCTTTGTGCTGTGCTGAGAGCTGTGAATGTTGCTCACGTTACAGATAAAATGATCAGAAAGGAAGTGAAGCACGATGGTCACCGTTTCAGAAGTTCCTGCTGACCAGCAGTGACCTGGATGGTATGTGAGAGTGTATTTCCTTAACTTTACACAACACTCCAGAGGTCTGATTATGTTAAAAGCAACCCATATCCTTGATAAAGGTGTTAGAACTCACTTGAGAAATAGCAGCCAGGGGTAGGTGAAGGACCTGTGCTTAAGCTTTATATATTTGTGGTGTTGTGCTTTTGGTCTTAGAGGTATACTGTGTGTTACTGAACACCACCTTGTATTGGCTAGCTGTGAAATATGCAGCCTGCTAAGAATGAACTTGTAGAGGAAATGGCTTCCTTGATTTATATATAAGAGAGATCTTTGTCTTTGCTGTGTTTTGTACATTTATGTGCAAAGGGCTTTGATAATGAAGTGCTGTAATGAAAGTGGTATTTAGAGAGCAATGTGACCCTAAGGGTTGGCCATCTTGCTGTGCATTAAGCTTTATGATAACAGTAATGATGCTGGAGCTGATACCTAGAGCCCTTACTCCTTATTCTGCCTGAGTATGGGACTAGTAGTGACTTCAGTTATTGCTTTGCTGCTGCTGCTTTGCTAAGGTTACCTTCTTTAGTACAGGATTTTTTTTTTACTATGGTGGTCGAAGTGAAGAAAAACAGCAGAAAGGAGTTTGGTATGTTGTGAAAGATACTTCAGAAAATACTGGAAGGCACTTGAGAAGTATCCGTATGTTGGAAAGAAATTGCTCAAATCCCTGTTTTGTAGTTGCAAAAATCCTTTTGGGCTTTTTGGCCAGGCAAAAGGGTAAGCAAAACTCTAATTACAAGGTCACTGACACTTCCTTTTATTTATTTGCTTCATATAAATGAGCAATGTAAGTTCACCTAGGCTACACCATAGTAAGTGCAGGTTTACCGTGTTTAGATTTTGATTGGTAGTAAATCTATAGCTACTATATTTTTTTAATGATTTTAAAATGTGTGTGCAGGATACATGCACATATGCAACAAAGGCACGATCTTGCCACATTTATTAGAAAAGAGCTCCCATTCAAGTGGGTGAGTATTTTATTTGTGTAGGGACTGCAGAAACAGGCCCAGACATGTCTATGAAAGTGTACATAGGTGTATGATTAGGTGTAAGGAATGACTTGCAGGGCAGAAAGAGATATATATAAAATATTCCTTGAGATGAAATGCATGTTGCAGCATGTTTACTTTCTGATTGTTTTTTTCAGGTTTTACTTAAAAGATGATTGAAAAAGTGTGGCATTTGTCAGAAATGCCACAGGCAGAAGCTTTCGGATACTTTTTGGCCTCTTTACTTTGCACTGGGTGATGGAAAATCAGGTTTCTGCTGCTGTACTGCAGCATCTGTGGGGCCGAGTGGAAACAGTGTGGTCTGAGGGTCTGTGGATGGACCCTACCAGCTGCTCTCTTCTCCATGGGTAGTAGATAAATACTGCCTGGGAGATTTTAGCTACTCAGAGGTCACTACCTGTGCCATGTCACTGTGGGGTGTGTGAGCCACCTTTGACCAGCCTGAGCTTCTGCCTGTCCTCTTTAAACGGGTGAAAAGAAGGGCTGTTGCAGAAAGAAGGACCCTCCTTTTTTTCTGCCATCACTCTTTTGTGTGATGAGCATATGAAAATACTCTTCTGACATCAAGAATATATCTGAATTTGGGGCTATTTTGGTTTTCCTTCTCCCATGCCGTCAAAACTCCAAATGTCCAATCTTAACCTTCTTTTAACAATGGGATACATGAGTGATAAGAAATGACTGTAAGGAGGCCGGGTGTGTTTGCTGCACACTCTTATGACAGGTAAAGGGCATGCATAGCATATTGTGCTTTCCCACAGAAAAGGCTGCAGACTCCAGAGGTATCCCTCAGTACAAAAATCTGATCCATCCAAGAAGAAATGCAGTCAGCTGTCTGGTATGACATCCTGAGCTCAAGGTGTAATCATGGCTTTCTTGCTGAGGATATTAAATCTGAGAGAGGGAGAGAGAAAATTATAATGTCATGGTTTAATCTCCAACTCCTCATATTATTTAAAAGAATCTCTTAGGAAATTCCTGAGATCTGCATACACTGGCAATGCAAATTGAGTTGGAAAATCCAAATTCTTGGATTTTTTAGAGCAGAAATGCTTCTCCTTTATTGTCAGGTCACATGAGGAGGCTTATGAATCTTCCAGTGCTGTCATCACAGGGAAGGAAGTATTTAGTTGATATAGTTTAGCTGCTTGCTTTTGATTTCTGAAATCCAACTTTGCTGATGGACAGAATGGATTAAATAGAGAAAGGGCCATTATAATTTAGCATATTTTCTGTGATTGCAACAAAATTGTCACAGACAGCTCATGAATTGCAAAAGGAGAGACATGCCTTGGCAGCTCCTCCTGCTGCGGCTCCAGAGAGGAGAGACACCATGGTTTCCTGGAAAAGAGATGTAAAGGGGGTACAGGAGATTCCAGAGCCTTTAGCACTGTGGAGTAACACCACAGAGATGATAGATGAAGTTTCAAGCTTGCAACAGTCAGGAATAGCTATTTTGGTCTCTGACAAAAGCTGCCCCCCACAGCCTCGACTGATGATAAATTAAAGGTTATGCTCACTTGGGATGGTTAAATGTAGTAGACTGAAGGAAATCGACTCTAGGAATAGTCCACTCTGTGGGGGTTTGGTGAATCAGTGGAAATGTTGCTCAGACCTTGAAGGCAAAAACGCCGGTGGTGACACAGCTCTGTGGGTGTGCTGCTTGTTCTTGGCTCTCCAAAGAGCAATCTCTGGTTTGCATGTGAGGGAAACCAAGGTGGGTAACACACTGAGATATGGAGTGAGAGGGAATCTGTCCTTTTTCATCTTCTGAGGGCTGGTGGCTCCTCAGCAAAGCTCTGGTGTAGAGAGCACAAACTTGAGCAGTGAAGATGGAGAGCTCTGAAGTGTCCCTTTAGCCCTATCTCGCTTGCATCCAAGTTTGCAGAGAACTTTGGAGCTTTGACAAGTGTATGAAGAAGGAAACAGCAAATTCAGCAGTCCCTAAGGGCCAAATTCCCTGGAAATTCTGGAGTGAGCTGGGTTTTCAGGAATAAAAGAGTCAGCATTTATGCTTTGGGCTTTTTCCAAAATCCAGTGGAGCCTGTGGAAAGTTCAGAGCAAGCCTCTGGAAAACACGCTAAACATGGTCAGGAAGATCAGCCTCTTTTTTCATAACTCACTTGATTTCAGATATGGTTTTTAATATATTGTAGATACTGTGCAGTAGTAATACTGTGTTTTTAATGGTGTGTGTAAAGAACAAATATATCTGGAAGCAGAAATGTTGTAACTATCACTCTCCTTTCCAGATTATAGCACTTTTCATCTTTTCAAACTCATCTATGCAAAGCATCTCATCGTGATAGTGTAAATCACCATATGAAATCAGAAATGAACCCTCTGTACATGACTGTATGTATGCACATCACATGCCTTGAGAAAAGAGGTTTTTCTGCTTACTTTCAAATACCAGCATGGAATTCATCAGTGATGTGAATGTGTTCAAGGCAGGATTCATCCCATCCCCTTTGAAACCACAACATTCACATTTGGCTTCAATAGATAAAAAACATCGGGTCCAGTGCCTGTAAGTAAAGTCAATAACCTGCATCTCCCCAGAATGCCTCCCAGAATATTATCATTTTATGTCTTGTGATCATCCTGTCTAATGTGGGTGAGGCTGTTGGGCATCCCTGTGTTGTGTCCATGGTATTCAGAATCAACAGTTGTACTTAAGAGCTTCTTTTAAATGAAGTTAAAGGAAATCTAAATTTATGCTAAGTGTTAAAGTGAGGGAGCTTGGGCCCCAGGCCAGCAGCACCTCCAACACTCCCCAGAGCCCTGAGCATCTGTGAAACATGAGAAAAGAGGGACTGGGCCACAGTGGGAAACTTGAAGAAAGGTAAAACTGCCTCAGTGCTTCAAGGATTGAAAGCTGTAAATATGTTACTGACATGTCTGACTTTCCATTTAGAAACCTTAAATGTTCTTGGTGTTTGATCTTTGGGTAAATTGATGTACATTTTTAACTGTACTAATCACTGTAAAATGTGTTAGCATGTAAAATGGTGACAAATTAAGCCAGCGCAACCAGATGCTGCGTTGGCTAGTTCTGGAAATGTCTGTTCTGTCTGAAACTGTCTGATGGACCAAGACACTGAGGTCTCTCCAGTGCTCCATATGGCTTATGAAGACTCTGGTTATTACCTATTTTATCAATGGGGAGGAAGCAGAGTTGAATTAATCTCTGTTTTTTAACCATGTATTGGTCAATTGATCACACACTTAGGTGTGACACTAAAGCTGTCCCCTTAGAGACAAGGAAAACTGCCTGTGCCTGCTCTTTGTGGGACAGGACATGGGGATACTGCTTCATTTCTGGGTCCTCCTTATCGACAACCATGAGGTCCCAGGGCAAACCTCTGCATTCAGCCCATGTAAGTTGTGTTGGACAGCTGCTGCCTGTTGAATGTATCCCCTAGTGGAAAACAAATGCTTACCATGGAAATACTGAAGCAAAACTGTGTGTCTTCATGCCAGAGGAGCTTGTGGCTATTACAAATTTAAAGCTTATTTCATGTTTATTATTCCTTTAAGGCGGTGATGGTGGGGATGGAGAAATCCAAGCAGAGTCATGGTTGTTTCATGTTGATGTTAATCCCTCATGTCCATACACTCACCTTTTTCTTCCAGCCTACTACCCTGTAGTTTTTGCCTATTGTTTGTGTAGCTGTATTGTGGTTGTAATAGAAAGCCTATCAGTTGATGTAAGCCATAACTAAAGCAGTAATCAGGGTATTTTTTTGGTCTGTGTCACTGTGTTTGAAAGCTGATTTAATTCTATTGAATAAACCACTTTAACAGTTTTATGGGAAAGAAAATCTTTGCATCACTTTTTGTGCCTTCAAACTCATTTTGTATATTCTGCTGTTTTGTGTGTTTGAACAGAGAGCTGGAAGCTCAGCTGATAGAAATTGGTTCATGTAAGTAGAGAAGATGATATAACATCATATATGTTTACAGATATATAAAAATCTATGTAGGGCTATACAATTGTATAAATTCAGAATCTGGTGTTTTTATCACTGGACATACAATGTACATTCCTGGATTGTAGCCTAAAATATGTATGGGCAGAAGAGAGTAATTTATTATTGGAAGTAGCAGTCTGTGCACAGACAACCTTTGAGAACCCTGTGCAATCCCTGGGTTTTGCCTGCTTACCATTTACTAACTTCCTTGGGTCTGGTCTGTCTTACTGAGCTGCAGTCATACAAGCTTAGACTTCCATCAATATTCTCAGCATCAGGAGAATTAAATTATAAATGTAAGAATATTTATAGGGATATAAAATAGCAGATGGAACAACCATATATTTTTTGAAACTGGGTATATTCCTATGGCATTCCTATTGTTCCTAGATTATAAGCTCAAATAGGAGTAGGTAATAGAAATAATACTATCTTGATATTAGCACTGGTATAGGGAAAATGTAAAACGTGAATGACTTTGAAGAGGGAAAGCTGTGGTGAATGCTGGAGGAATCAGTTCTCATTCTTGCTGACATTTAAACTGGTGGGTGTACTTCCTTCCCCCAGCTGCTTGTGATTATTGTTAGTGATTATTCAATCAAGAAGAGGAAACGTGGAGAGGGAAAAATGAATAGACAAACTGACACTGGATGGCATAATTGCTGTCTATCACATTGCAAATTGTTCAGCTAAGCAAGCAATCAAAGAATGGTTCATTTCCTAAAGACTGCAGCATCTGTCATTTTCCTTAGTGGCGTTTGCAGCCTTTCTTCTGAGAAAGTCTCAGCAAGAAACCATAGTGAATTACAGGGTTGTTTTACCACAGTCTCTCTCTGAGACTGCCCAGGGGTGGGTGGTTAGAGGAAAGAGCAGGAGAAATAGGGAAAGTAATAAATGACCCTTCTGCTGGCGTTCCCTCAGAGAGGTATTTGCCAGTTTGTATTTTTGGCCACAACAATGTGATACGGTACCAAGGATCAGACTTTAGCTCTGTGCTTGTGTGAATAAGTGGTTCCTTTTGCTTTTGTGAGCTGCTGCGTTCTTCTGAGGGCACCCAGCAAGTTGTCTTTGTGTTGTGGGACCTGCTTAGATGAAGCCAGGGCAGATACTGGCCTCCCTTCTTCCACTACAGACATTACCTCTTGGAGTAAAAGCTATATGAGTCTCTATTTATCTCTCCCCTTTTTTTTCCCATCCAGCTCTAGAGCTGTGGTGAGCACTGCTAACTATAATCTACTCCCAGGTGATGAAGTGCTAGCAGTCAGGTAATTTTTATCATTTAGTTCCTTGCTCTAAGGCTTCAGTCATCTCTAAGCTCTCCTAGTGTGTCTGACTAGAGGAATAAAAGATTTAAATCCATAAAGGAGCTATTACCAATAGCAGAGGAGACCAATGGAAGGTGTTCCTGCCAGTGACAGTGGTAGGAACTAGATGATCTTGAAGGTCCCAGCCAACCCAAACCATTCTATGATTTTATGAAAATATCCCAATAAGTGTGTATTATTGCTGCCACTTTTTTGAATGGAGAAGACACCCTAGTAGTAAGGATGCCAATGCCAAAGCTTCCTAAGTGTAGAAGTTCAGATCTCATTAATTCTTTCCTACACCTGAAAACAATGAGTTAGCAAGTTCAGGTCTTAACCAATAATTGGGAGCATGAGTGTTCTGTTGAAGAAGCAGATGTTTGTGTAGACCTTGGAGACAATCGTATTGACCTCAAATTCTACCACTGAATCCACACAAATACTACATGAGGGCATCTCACTAGATGTCTGCTAGTAACTGTGATAAACCTCTGTAGACATCTGTAGGTAGAAAGGCAGAGATGCAAAACAGAGCTCCAGGGATGGAGCTTCTCTGGTCAACCTGGGCCAGGACCTCACCATCCTCACAGGGAAGGCGCTGAAGAGCTTCTACCTAATATGTAATCTAATCTACTCTCTGTCACTTTAAACAATATGGGCTAAAATCCACTGTTTTCCTTTACAGGGCATCTTTTGTTTATTTTTGCATGGAATCAACCTCATCAGATGTACTAACAGCCCAGGCTGTCACGCTGTCTGTTGTTACACTCTTTCTGCCTTGCTGGACTTAGAGTCAGCTTTTGGAAAATGAAGTTCATCCTTTCCCCAGATGAGGTGAATGAAATGATGCCTGGAGCTTCACGGGAGCGTTTCATCTCACAGCTTGTTTGCTTAGTGGCAGTTGATAAACTCTATGCTGCAGTCAGGTCAGGTGGGCAAATGCCTTTCAGGCAGTGGAAGTTAATCTTGGTAACATCTGTGTTTCTAGGCACCTTATTTCCCTTGAGAAGCTCTGAGGCACTGAGGGAGTCCGATAATTTTGCAAATTATTTACCATCTTTGCTGCTCAGTGCAAATGCCTTTGGGTGATATAGTGGAATACTTGAGTCTGTAATGCTGTGCTCTTTGAATGTTTCCATGAGCATGTGGCACAGGACGATAAATATGGAATATGAATCTCTTTCACTTGAAAAGATCAATAGCATTTTCAACTTCCTGTATGGGTGTTTCATGAAGTAATGTGTGCTGGGAATGTTTTGGGTTTGTTTTTTATTTTGTTTCAGAAGTATCTCCCAAATAACATCTTTAATGAGCCTTTCAGAAACTGCATTTGGTAAAGGTTAAGCAACAGTGGTGGATTTCAGTATCTCACTGTGTGGACACTGATGAAGTAAGCCCTTTGAACGATGGTGTCTGGGCCCATGTCAGGGGTTTGGAACTGGATGAGCTTTAAGGTCCCTTCCAACCCAAACCAGTCGGTGATTCTGTGATCCATGATAGCTCTTTATTTCTTTAAAAAGTTCCAGAAACCTTCTAGGAAGAGATTGTCTGTGGGAGCACTCACTTGCTCTCAGCCTTGACTGAAACTTAATGCGGGAGTTGTAAGGCAGAAGGGAGGGACTGAGAGACAACAGGCAGGGGCTTACACAGCCCTTTCTATAAGACATCACGTCAACAGACATTCTTGACCCCAAATAGTAAGTACTTGCCCAATAACTGCTCTGTTAATACTTTTTTTTATCCTAGTAGATTTGCAGACACTTTTCCAAGCTGATGCTAAACTGTTTGTCACAGGGAAGAGGCTGATAAGACACATATAAATTAACTCAGTGACTCTCTTGGAAAAGTAGCAAGCATTTGCATCTTTATAAGCTCTTATCATTAAAGTTTTGGGGTGAGTTTTCAATCAGCTCACCAGATGCTGACTGTCCTCTGCAGGGGTCTCATCAGCAGTGGGGCTTTGTGGCACAGCTCATTCTCATCTTCCGTGTTGAGGATTTTTGTCTTTCCCTAATGCAGATTTTTAGTATTGCTAAGCTTTTGCTTGAAAAATGTATTTTTGTAATTAGCAAACTTTGTAGCTGCTTGAACAAAAGATTTAATTTCTGGTGATTAATTAACCTATGCCTTAACAACTCATTTTCATCTATTAGTCTTTTGATTTTTGATGTTATACTAATAACCAGCAAGAAAATAAAACAAGATTCATTCGCTGAGCAGTCAAATAGATGTTTTTACAGTGGATGCTTCAAAGGACATTAAAGTAGTTTAGCCCCATCCCCTTACCTTAGCCAATATTATTTTAACTTAAAAATACTATTTTCTGTTACCTAATTTTATACCATGATTATGGCTGTTTCAAGTGGCTTGCTATGGAAGACAGTTATTTGTTAAAGGCTGTCTTCATCCATCCATAAATCATAAAGACTTAGATGGGTCTGGTTGGGTTGTTAGCCTTGACCATCTTTTTTAAATCCAACCATACTCTGCATAAGAAAACTGAATGTGGCTCATCTCATTGTTAAGTTTCATCATTTTTAAGTGACAAATGGGATCTCAGCCTAGCAGAAAATGGTTTTATCCAGACCTGAGGTCAAGGTTTTGCTTGTTGACAGTTTGAGATACAACCCCAATGTGTTAAGACCCTGATAAATGAAGAGGTGATTGACTGGCCATTGATTTCCAGCAGTCTGAGTAGCATTAATGAACTTAGCTGAATATTATTCATATTCTCAGTTTAAAATGGAAAAACAGACAGAGAAATGTTGAGTCTGCACCTCCTGCAAATACAAACCAGCAATACTTAGTATGAAATTCATTTTTACTAATTTTAGGCATCTTCAGTGTAAAGCCTACAGGTGAGCTCCTTGCCAAGGCTCTCTTTGTAGAAACGTGCCCTTAATTTGCCAGCTTAGGCCAAGTGTTGATTTTGTTCGTCCAAAATGTCATCACACTGATTATGGATTTCCTGAGCATGCCACATCCTGTCTTTCTTCTCCCCGCTCCGCAGCACCCTGGAAGGACTAGAGCTAAAAGGAAATGTCATCCAGCCCCTGTCCAAGGCCAAGGTTAAGTTCTGTTTTCTCCGAAATATGAACTGCTATCTTTAAAGAGAAAAACCGAAGTCAAATTGGTCTGACCTTGAACATGGAACAGTCTCCCGTTTTGCATAACTACAGGAACAAAGTGAATATCTAGCTGTAACACTGTAATTAAGAAAGGTCATTCATCCCAACAGAGCCAGCTTGTGTTGCAGAGCAGTTTGTGCTCATATGAGCTCTGATATTGGGATGTAATTGCTTTTCTGATATCCATGTATTATTTACACTATGCTACTGTTGTAACCAGTGGCAAACTCCTTTTGACTCCAGATCTGTTGTTACTGTAACGTATTTATTAGGGCAATGCAAGGTCAGTCTAACCTGTTACTTGTCTGTAAATGACCCAACTGAAACTAATAGTTTTAGTGCTGTAACACCAATGTGAGATTCAAATCAGGACTTTGGAGTTAATTTACTTTATTGCCATATCTTG